TACTGTTTTTGTTTTCCCCCAGCACCTATCATAATGCATTACCCTTGAGCATGGAACATACTCGTTATTTATAAAAATCTCAAGTGAGTATAGTGGCTAGGGCACTGTTTCCTTGGAACACTAGTTCCTTGGTGCCCTAAAGAAAGAAGTTTCAAGGTCAAATAAGTTTAGAATGTATTATTAATTTTATTTTAGAAATTTGTAGTTAGCCTAGCAGACTTTGCAATAGCAAACCCTAACGTGGCCTAGGGTTTCCCAGACTGAACAGAACTGAAAATGGAAGTCCTATCCCCCATACCATCTTTATTTCTCTGTTCTTTAAACATTCTACACAGTACTTAAAATTACTGGCCTTGGGCTTTAAGACTACAAACTCAGATTCATGCTCTTGTTACATCACAGCCAGGTCTTCCCTGCAGTACTTCCTAACATGTTCTGCTAATAATGCCAGTTCCAATCACCTTTCAGGAAGGTTTCTCTCCTTAGGGTTAAGTCATTTGCCCTTATATGGCTTTTTCCAAGTCTTTTTACCTTCCCCTCATTTTGGCATTTGGTGATATGTTGAACTGTTTGCATGCAGATTTACATGTCTCAGACATACTGCCTCTGGGCAGCTATATGTAATAGAGCTTCCTGAATGTTAAATGAACACAGTAACTGCTCAGGTTGTTGGTGCTTATAAGAGGTGAGACCATGACTTATGATTCAGCCAGGAACCCTTGGGAACATAATGCTCAAATAAGTCATTAATGATTAATTGCATTGCATAATGCTAAGCATAGACTTAAAAACAGAAGTGTCACAAATAAGTGGCTGTGGTTCTTGTGTTTATTTGCTGAAGAACACAACTGGAAAACTGGATTATGTATCAGCAATTTCCACCATAGGAAACTTTATAGTTAACAGTTTTTTTTTTTAAATGGGTATTGGGGAGGGAACCCAAGGATTCTTTACCACTGAGCTACATCCCCAGCCCTTTTTATTTTTATTATTTTAAGACGGGCTCTAAGTTGCTTAGGGCCACACTAGTTTGCGTAGGCTGGCTTTGAACTTGTAATCCTCTTGCCTCAGACTTCCCAGCCACTGGGGTTATAAGCATTCACCACTACACCTGGTTGGTTTATAGTATCTTTTGATGTTAGCAAATAAAATAACAACCCATATTTTCTTATATGAAACAGATTGACTACAGCTGTTGATCTACCTCCTGAGTTTATTCACCTTTATATATCAAATTGCATCTCTACTTGTGAACAAATTAAGGATAAATATATGCAGGTGAGTAATAATGGGAATTTTTATAAATTCTATAAATAGGTGCTGAGAGGATGAGCAAACTAAAACTTTTTCTTTTTTCTTCCAGAATCGTTTGGTGCGTCTTGTGTGTGTGTTTCTTCAGTCCTTGATCCGTAACAAAATTATTAATGTGCAGGACTTATTTATAGAAGTACAGGCCTTCTGTATTGAATTCAGTAGGATACGAGAAGCTGCAGGCTTATTCCGGTTGTTGAAGACACTGGATACTGGAGAAACGCCTTCAGAGACCAAAATGTCAAAATAATACCTCACCAGAACTACCCAATTTGTTGTTCAACTGTATTGATTAGTTTTTAAAACTTAAAACTGAGTGGATTGCTTGGTCTTATACATATAAACAACACTTAATCTACTTTAAAGCAAAAGTTTTGCTTTTCCTGGATGACTTTTTCCTATAGATGAATTTTTGGTAAGAACTTGGACACAAAATGTTCTAAGTGTCTTGCTGATGACTCCATAGGAGGAATAATTATCCCAAATTACTGCAAAAAAAGTAGATGAGGTGTGTATTTTTTAAAAGAAATTTTAGCATTACAGAGCAAAGTGCTTGTTTTTGCTTCAAAGGCAAGCTACAGGCTTCTGATAAATCAGGAACCCAGTTTTCCTAAGGTTTCAGTGTTAAAAGTATCCAATGAGAGCAAAGACATTTTGAAGAAATTGTGATACTGTCATATAGTGAAGAGCAGTTGATTGTATCTCTTTGGCAGAACAAATGTTTGGAGGGCCTCTTAAAAACACGGGAACTCTTAGGACAACGTTATAGTAGGTGATATTGTTTCCTAGGTTTTTTTTCTTCGTTGAGATGTCCTCTGTTATTACCCTAAAATGCATTTTTTTGTTTTGTTTTGTATTGTTTTAAAGGAAAAACAGGGCTTTGGGAGGGAGTGTCACCCCTAGGAACTGCTGTCTGTGGCAGGGTAGATGTGTGAGATGTACCAGAGCAGGCAGTGCATGTGTCACCCCTCATGTCACTTTGGACAACAGTGCCTTCCAGTAAAGTTCTTTTTTTACCAACTGTCATCTGATGCATTTTTACTTGGAGAAATCATGACAAATTCCTTTTACAGAACTACTTCTAAAGCATATTTACAGGGAAACAATCTGTTCAATAGGAGTTATCCTCTAATCCAACACTTGGCAAAAGTTAAAATTTTTTTTAAGAGTACAAGTTTCACACTAAGTCCATGCCTCAGATCCATACTATTAAATGGGTAGACTCACAAACAGCATGAAAAAAGTGAGGAAACAAATTAACCCAAACAAACAAAGATACTCCAATAACAGAATCTATTGACGCCACAGTGGAAGAAATGTCAGAGGAGTTTAGAATGAATATAGTTAAACTGATATGCGAGAAAAGGGACAAAAAAAAAGTACGGAGTGAAATCAGGGAGAAAATACAGGAAGTGAAAGATCATTTCAATAAAGAGAGATTTTGAAAAAAAAAATCAAGCAGAATCCTTGAAATGAAGGAATTAATAAACCAAATTAAAAATTCAATGGAAAACATCACCAACAAACTAGACCATATGGAAGACAGTTTTAGGCAATGAAGACAAAATAGATAATCTTCAAATTAAAGTAGAACATGGAGAAAAGATGTTAAAGACACCATAAACAGAACTTCCAAGAAATATGGGATAACCTGAACTTCAGTCCAAATTTAAGATTTATTGGGATGAAGGAAATGAAAGGAAGCACAATCTTTTCAATGAAATAATACCAGAAAAACTCCCAAACATAGTTTGGGAAATGGAAAAATCAAACACAGGAGGCTTACAAGGACCCCAAATATAAAAAACTACGACAGACCCACACTAAGGCACATTATTATGAAAATGTCTAACATACAGAATAAGAATAAAATTTTAAAGGCCGCCAGAGAAAAACAACAGGTCACCTTAAGAGAGAAACCAATCTGAATCTCAGCTGATTTCTCAACCCAGACCCTCAAAGATAGGTGGTCTTGGAACACACACACACACACACACACACCAAGCTCTGAAAGAGAATAGATACCAGCCAAGAATATTATACCCAGTAAAATTAACCTTCAGAATTGACAATGAGATAAAAACCTTCCATAATAATAATAATAAAAAAGTTAAAAACATTCACAACTCTACAGAGCCTGCACCACAAACATGTTCAGTATGGCATTTCATGAAGAAATGACAAAAGTGAAAACCAGCAGAGGGAGGAATAACACTAGAATAGCCAATCAAAGGAGAAACTATTTCAAGTTAAAAACCAGAAATAAAATGACAGGAAATAAAAACCACTTCTCAATAATAACACTGAATGTACTTGGCCTAAACTCATATGAATCAAGATAGACTGGCAAACTGGATTAAAAAACAAGATGCAACAATAAACTGTCTCCAGAAGTATGTTAGTTTCCAAATATTTGGAAGTATTCCAGATCTTTCTGGTGTTGATTTTTAATTTAATTACTGTAGTTAAAGAATATGTTCTGAGTAACTTGAATTGTTTTATGTTTTCATTTTCATTCATTTCAAATTATTTTCTAATAATTTCTGATTTCATCATGATAAGAGACTGAGCTTTGTATCATTTGAACCAAGTTTTATACTTCTTCATGCAATATCTGAATTTTTAGGACATTTTAACATCACTCTTACTTTGAGCTGTAAAGATTTTTATATTCTGAATCCTGTATTTTACTATTCATAAATCCATGTATTTTATCTATCACTTGGTCACTTTTAAGTCATTTTTCTATTTGATGCAACAAGTACCAAAGAAATTTGGTTTTGTTATTTTTTAATATGGAATTCCAATTATTTCAGCACCATTTGTTGGAAACACTATCCCTTACCATTGAATTACCTTGGCACCTTTGCTCAGCTCATGTATGTGTAGGTCAATTTTTGAATTCTGTATTCTGTGCCATTTTTTCTACAAGTCCATTTTTATGGCAACATCACATTATCTTCATTAATGTCAGTTTATTGTAAAATTTTAACTCAGGAAACATGAGTCCTTCAGTTCTATTCCTTTTAACTTACATTGGTTATTCAGGTGCTCTGCATTTCCATATAAATTTTGTAATTTGCTTGCCAAATTTCTCAAAAAGTAAAATAATTTAAAAAACAACATCAATTTCGCTCAAGGCCTAAAAGTGGGCATCACAGTTCTGCAGATTAGGTCCAACTATTCTTGGATAAAGAACAGTTCATCATTGAAACAGCACTTTGGAATTGCAATTTCAATGACTGATTGCTATTGTTAGAAACAACCCAACTTAGATTCCTTGCAACTTCTGATTCCAGCAAAATATAGCACTGAACTTGAAAAGTCAACAATACAGCACTGTAATTCATGCCTGAATAAAGTTTGTCTAACATATTTTATCCTAAAAGCATATTATAGTCTTGCTCTTCATCATACTTGGGGACAATCAAACAGTGAAGTTGGAAACGAAAGTACAAAAAAATTTGGTACTAAAGAGACCATGGAAAACACCTGCTTGTACTATGACAGCTGAAACAGATTGTTCCCTCATTCAAACCTGTGTATCAGGCAACTCAAAATTTCAACCCAAGCATGACTAAAAATGACTCCTGAAAACGGTATGTGATGATTTGCGGGTTACAAATGAATTTTAGTGAGTAGTAGTAGTGAGTAGGCAAGTTTATAAACATGCATTTTTCAAATGAGGATCAAGATCTCATACACTGTTTATTTGAAAAAGGAAAGAGTCTCAAATTCATTTCACTTTCACAGTGCTGAGGACTGACCTCAAGGACTCTCACATATAGACAAATCATTCTACCATCCCCAGTACCTCAAATTTATTTTTAAATATATAGCTCACAGATAATAATAGTTATATTTAGAAAGTATCTTATAAAAAAGAAGAGTTGAGGCTTAAATACCATCACAAGGTTCTTCATTAAACATGTTTAAAAGTAAAAGAAGGTGGGCAGGGGTGTGCACCTGTAAATCCCAGCTACTCAGGCATCTGAGGCAGGAGGATCACTTAGGCCCAGGCCAGCATGGACAACAGCAAGATTCCTTTTCCTTAACTGGGATTCAATACGGTACAATCAACTTTTGTATAATTGAGTTCAATTCAATTACGTTAGACAAAAACAAAACAAAAAAAACACTTGGGTTCTCAGGATCTTTTTTAGTTTTAATATCTTCATATCACCTGTTTAAAAAAAAAAAAAAGAACAATAAACGAGTAGAAAAAGACGTTATTCCAAAAGAGAAAGAGTTTGGGATCCTAAAATATAACCAAATAATTCAAATCAACAGTATTTATTACTCATTTAAGCAACTTTACACAGAAATGGTATCATGCAATTTTCTTACAGAGCACATACTCATTCACACCTATTTTTAAACAGCATACTCTTCTATACATTCCCATTCCCATGGAGAATGAAGAATAACTCATTCTATTTTAAGCAATACTTCTGGATTAATGTCCCTTTAAGACAATGTAACGTATCTAGAAAATTAAGAACTTGTTACATGTTTATTGTAATTCTAGCACACTGTGCTTTACTAAGACACATTGCTGTGATTTCCCTTTCTATCCATTCTGTTTTGTTATGCAATCACTGCTGTTCAATTCAAGAAAAGCCATAAGAAACATTCAAAAGGCACATGTATAATTCTGGAATTCTGTAACTGATATGAGCCCACAGGAGGTACTGGTAATCTCAGGCTTCTCTCATGAGCCCATGACATAGGCCCACAGCTCATCAAAAAGATGGCCTGACTTTTTCCTAACATCTCAATCCCCCCACCCCTGGCCCTCTACTGGAAATTGAGCCCAGTGACATTATTCCACTGAGCTACATCCTCAGTCCTGTTTCTGCTTTGAGACAGGGAATCAATAACTTGGCCTTAAACTGGGAAATCCTGCCTCAGCTACCCCACTACCCCCATTCACTGGGATTACAGGCACGTGCCATCACACACAACTTTTTTCTAACATTTTGAATGAAGGCAGCACGTATACTTTTCAGGTCACAATTTCTTTAATATATTCCTGTAGTAAGAGGGCAAGTCTCTGGGTATGTGGCCGATTATGACATGGTAGATTATGACATGGCAGATATTTCACTTTTATAACTAGTAATCCAATTACTAGCATTTGAAATGCTGAAAAAATGTTTTTAAGACTTTAAAAACTAAACTAGCTGGGAAAGGTGTAGGTGGCTCTTCTCATCGGTGGTTTCGTCACAGAATCATAACATGTTATGCCAAAAAACTAGTTTGCTTCAAGCCAATGTCCTGTGCTTTAGGAAATGGCAAAGTGGAGCTTATCCTGGGCCCGTAGAAACTGCTTTTGACTGAAATATAATTACCTCGAGTTCTAATTAGTAACATATACATGCTGATTTAATCTTATCCTTCAAGAACAAATAAATTTTAATGTGCTCAAAGCGACTGCTGCCAAATTAAACCATCTTATTGGGGAATTTGGTTATACTGGGTACTTCATCCAGATGGACACACACGTATTTTTGAAGTTCTGTTATTATTTTTACAATTCCAGTCGTCTTTGATGTGGTTAAGTATGTGTACAAGGGTACAAAGAGAGGTATTAACTAGGTGGTCAAGTCCCAGTGTCATCTGGGAATCAGTGATTATTTTTTCTTTGAAACTGCCCAATCTCTGGGAATGCCCTTCTTAGCCCTCCCACTCAGAAAGCTTCCCCTAGGCATGCAGCTTCATCCTGCATTACTGAGGTCAGACCAGTGAGTCGCTTCAGGAGATTTTGTCATTGTGCACCCAGAGAGCAAACTGCTGAGGGAGACACTGCAATTCGGCCTTTTCTTGTCATCATTCCTCAGTAGCCACGGGGAGCAATCTTTCTAGAAAGGCTGTTATGTCCAAGATCCCAAAAAAGACAGCATATAAGAAACCATTACCTGCCAAATGACCATGTCCTCACACCTCTCTGGCCCTTTGAGGTTTTCTGCTGGGAAAGTCAGAATGCCAATCACACCCCAGGGAGTGAAGAGGCGAGGCAGGCAGGGAACCATCATGTACTTCAGTGTCATGGATTTGGTTTCCTTCACACCATTCCTATGATTTTCAAAGTTAAAAAAACACTGTTCCACATTATGTGAACAAATGGCTTTTATGACAATTTTTAGGAGGAAAGTAACTAAATCTCATTTAGTGTAATCTTCATCTAGAGTCCCCAAATCCCCAGCATTTTATTAAATTTAAAAGTTTCCATAAATATTCTGGTTAAGAGTTGAGGGAAGCTATTTTGATGTCCGCTGATTAAGAAGTTACACTTCTATAATTAACCAAAAATAATTAACCTTGGTCTGTCCCAGTGTTCTGAGACAGCTTCATTAGCTACCAAAAGAATTACTAAAACACTTTTTTTTACATGTCTCTTGAAAGGCAGCTACTTGGTACAGAATCAAGAACGTATTTTCCTATTTGTAGTGAACACAAAAGGTAGATTTCAAGATAACAGCTGTTATGGAAACTAACTTTGAGGCTACCTACGAAAACAAGTACTCAAAGCAAGACAAATTTTCTATTTCAATACTCCTTGTATCAAATCTGGCTGTACAATTTATTTCAGTAAAACAATTCATCAAAAATTTTACTGAGTAGCTAGACTCAGTTTGTATACATAGTACATAGCTGGAGAAAAAATAAGCTTCATAAACCCTAATATTCAAGATATAGCTATAAGATAAATTATTTTTTAAAATCATATTTTCCTCAATAAACAAAGTAAAAAGCAACAAAGGTCTATATAATCTACACTTTAAAAGAAATAACTGCTACATAGTCCTTGATTTTCACCTCCAAGAAGTGAGAAAAGAACAGAGTTGTTTTTGATCACTTTATAAACAGCAATATCCAAAAGCTTTACATTTGACCAAAGAGAACATTAAATAAAAGTTTAAAAAAACTGTGTTTGTGTGTGTGGGTGGGGGGGGGGGGGGGGAGAGTTGAGGTTAATCAAGGGCTTGCTTAAAAACTAATCAAGAAAACTAGTTATTTTATTCCAACAACAAATATAAAAATTCTTCATCTATCATTCTTTTAACTGTAAAGATTAAATTACAATTAGAACCAATACAATATATTCATCATTATAAAAATGAATAATAGTACATCTATTTGATTTCCATAATCAAGCAGCAAATAACTTAATGCTTATATGAAATATAAAGTCTTAACTTTTTATTTGTAGGAAAGGTGGACAAACTTCCCTCCATTAAGATGTCACAAGTAGTTCGTACTAAAGGGGAAAATGCAATTCCTAAAGTCATCTAACGCTTTTCTCATAATTCCAGACAACAATGGAAATCGCTTTCTCAAGTTCTGAAATCTCTATGTACAATGAAAAATGTGCAAGAAAGCTAGATATTTCTCATCTTTTAAGTGTAAAGTAAGTTTTTCCTTCAGAGAAAGCCCATGTGATCAATTATTGAATTTAATCACACAATTCCACTTCAACTAATCTAAAATTGGTGTGCTTTGTCTAAAAAGCTTGAGAAATAAAATTAACTTTGTTTACAGTACTGTAGTAGCTAATGTAGTATTTAGAAACACCCCCCACTTCCACATTAGCATGCCTTCCCTAGGCATCATCTCTGATAGTCCAAAACAATTTATCATAAACACTGTATTCTTGTAGATAAATATATGAAGACGAATCAAAAAGTCTCCTTAAGAGTAAAATATCTTAGCCTTCTGTATATAAAATCTGAATCTGAAAGGTAAAATATACATTATTTTCAAGTATATAAACTATGTGCTAAAATAAAAAAAAAAAAATAAAATGTCCTCTTTAGTTCAAGCCATGTGTCTGTGAGGGATGTGCGCTAGGAGATGGGTCCTCCACGCTGAGGGTCGCTCCTGCCGGCTTCTACAACAAAGCATCAAAACCACCCCAGGTCAGTAAATTGGTCAGCACATTCTAAACTTCAGTTACATAAATACAGCTACTCATCTGAATATGGTATTTCAAAAACCAAATTTCAGAAATATTTAAATAAACTTACTTGCAAAAATGATATCCTATTCCAAAGAGACAGTAAACAAGAAAAATATAGAACTAATGTTTCTTAGATATGCTAAGAGAGGTTTTCTAGTATTAGGCAAAGTGATATTAATTTGATCAGCATGGTACTACAAAAAAGACAAAGTATGAGTTGATGGTATTGGAATATGTTTCAAGAGTCAAACAAGCAGCTGTGAGAATGATGTAGCCACCAATGAAAACATGGCTAACATTTATTGGTACTATATATGATCCCATGAGGTACAGACTAGTATGTCATTATCTCTTTTTATCAGCATAAAGATGTGGAGCTGGTGTTTAAATCCAGGCATTTAAGTGAGAAAAACAGGGATACAAAAATCACTAAAGCTCAAAAGGTTTCTGAGGACTGTGTGATACTTCCCTAAACACAGCAGCAGAACCAAATACTTATTCAGGTTCTTTTCTTTGCCAGTTTAAAATTTAGTGGTAAAATAACAAATAACTTTATTAGGGGCTGCAGTTGTGGCTCAGTGGTAGAGCACTTGCCTAGCACATGTTGAGGCACTGGGTTCTATCCTCAGCAACACATAAAAATAAACAATAATAATAATAATACAGATACAAAAAAAAACTTTATTAAATTTGTTTTATTTTTGGTGCTGGGGACTAACTCCAGGTTTTACACATTCAAGATTATATACTCTACCAGAGTGTCCTCAGTCCCTATTATTAACCATTTTTCCCCACCTTAAAAAAATTGATTTACTTTTTAAATTGGAAAATATAAACGGTATATATTTATGGTGTATGATATGGTGTTCTGAACTATGTATACAATGGATTGGTTGAATAAAGCTTATTAATATATGTATTACCTCACATACTTGTCATAAGAACACTTAAAGTCTATCTTCACCAATTTTCAAATATATAATATATTGTTAACTAGAGTCACCATGTTGTATATACATGTCTTGGAACTTATTCCTCCCTTTTAACAGAAATTTTGTATGCTCTGGCCAGGGTCACCTCAAAGCCAAATACTCTGAGCTCCCTACAAAAGAGGGGTAGATAGACTGGACATTGGGAGGAGCAGGCAGCAGGGACCCTTGCAGGGGGTGCTCCACTCGAAGTTCCACACTGATTGATTAGCTGCTCCTGTCAGCCCAGCAACATTTTCCTAACCGTAAGCAAAACTGCATTATATTCTGTAAGTATTAATGTCCACTTCAAATAACTGATTTTTAAAATTTAGCATTTCTCAATTTATACTATGACTGTTACAGGATAGAAAGAACATTATTATACAAGTTACCAGTTAATTTACTAGAGAACAATACTTAGGATTAAAGAAAGGACAAAGAGAAAAAAATAAAAAGTGAGCCTCCAAAAGAGGTTGGGGTTCTCAGGAAGGGGAATCCAGCTTCTTTAGAATGTACTCAACATCCTATTGTTTTGTAAACCCAGTTTCTTTTTTCATTTTCTTTACTTCTATTCACTATTTTGAATTTTGTTATCTTCTAAGTAGGCACCTGAAGAGAGACTATGGTGAAGTGCAATACAACAAGGCAGATGGCAGGAAACTGGAAACTACTTTTGAAGGACATTCAGAAGGACTGGAGCCTGCATTTGCACATTCTCAAGGCTGGCCGTGTGCCAGAGAAAGCAAATTCAGTTTTCTTTATAAAGCCTGAAGGCAACAGCAAAATTCATATTGGTAGCACTTTGGCTTAATGCAATGAGATGCCTAAAAACAAGATCCATTTCTAAGAGGCTTCCCTGGACGGTGAAGAGATCAACCCTGACAATTTTATGGTTCTGTATCCATTCTCCTTTTTCTTTCGAAAGGCGCTTTTTTTTTTCTTGGTACCAGTTTAAAACTTCAATTCTAGTGTTTCTACTATCTTTACCTCACATGTTAAAAAACAAATTAAATTTGAATCTCACTGCTTTGAAAAATACGCATTTTTATTCCAGGATGCAACATTCAAATTGGCAAGCATCAACTCTTCCTACTTACAATAACGTGCAAGTTAATTCAATTCCAATAAAAATTCAGATGAGATTTTGATTAGGCAAAATTATTTTAGAATTAATCTTTAAAGAATGCAGAATACCTCAGAAATTTTGTAAAAGAAGAATAAAGAAATAATTTCCCTGCCTTGCAATATCAGAAAATATTTTTTGTGGAGTGGAGGGTATAGCTCGGTGGTACAGCATGTGTCTAGCCTGTGAGAGGGCCAGGGTTCAATTCCCAGCACAATAAAAGAAAGAAAAAAATAATAATTATCATTCACTAAATAATCTAAGAAGAAATGTTAGGAAAACAAACAAGTTAGTTAAATCTACCAGCCACTTACCAAGTAATGCTGTGTTTTCCCCTGCATCTTCTTTGAAAGTGGTAGGGCACTGTGGCCCAGACTCATTAGTGGATGAGGATGGCAGGTTGCTGCCACTGCCACTGCTTCTGCCCTCCTCTTGTGAAGCTACACTCACATTCCCAGGTGAAATGCTTCCAGGGGTAGACTCAGGAGTGGGCAGCTCCTGAACATCCTCAGGTTCTGCTCCCTTGAAAATCCGAACAGAAGAAAATGCCTTTTCTAAGTAACTCCATCAGTACTTAACTGTCCTCTTGCTCATAGTACGTTAACACGTCCCTGACATTTGAACACTGAACTTGGCAAAAGTGAACAGGCTCTGAACAACAGAATGCTTCAGACTATATTCTGGTTTTCTTAAAACAAAATAAAACAAAAAAACTTAGTCCTGGAGTCCTGGCTCTTACTCTCAGCACTCTCAGCTGTAGTTTGTTTTGTGCTTCCCCTCTTTTACATTTGCTACTTAAATAAAATAATGAAAGGAGGGCCAGAGGCTCCATGGCATCACTACATTAAGTCTCCGACATTTGGGGGGATATCCAGACATTGTTGAGGAATGCTAGAGTCAAAGCTGCATGTGAATAGATGACACTGCTGGAAGGTGACTTACTAAGCGAGGGTTACCACAGCCTGATTTGATCGTGTGGCTCACGGAGCACTCCACCTCTGTCCTCTGGGCTCTCAGGACACCACTGGCCTGTTTCAGCTGTGTCCAGAACAATCTCCTCCTCCCTTACCAGTAACTAAACACCTTTGACACCCAGCACTGAACGTTCCCTCTCACCTCGACTCCCAACACACCAAGTAACAAATCCTGTTGCTGTTGTGTTACCACAATGCCAAACTCCTGCTGAACCCCACCACAAGCTGTTTATTTAAAATCTGCCTAACCTAACTACCTGGAGGCCTCCCATCCCATAGGTCACCCCTGGAGACACACCATCAGTCAGTAGTACACTGAAGTGCTGCTAAAATCCTTTAACACCCAGCTCAGTGGCCCAAATAAAATGCACTACCTCCATCTTCTCACTTCTCCTTGCTTAATACTCTAGCCAGTACCTCAAACACTGTTCTCTTGTCATGTTCTACCTGTGTACTGGTCCCTACCAGTCCTGAAGGTCAAATTCCCAAGAGCCCTCGATCAGAGGGGCTGTGTCTTATCCATCTTTACCTCACTAGAGCCAAGTTCAGATTTAACACCTAAATGGCATTCCTTTATCAGTGCTCACTGAATGAATGAAAACAGTGACAAATAGTATTACAGTGCAAAAAACAAATGACGGTTCTTAAAGTCTGTGTGAGGGGCCACTGGTGACTTTCACATGATCATGAAAAAACAAGAGAATTAGACACTACAAGAAAGCACGCCATGGCTATCGAAAATATCCAAGGCAAGAGGAGTTGATGGGTTAAAGAAAATGGCAAACCATGTAAAGACTAAAAAAAAAAAAAAGTAAGACAAGTGAATTCTTTTGTCAGCCTTAAAGTTACTATAGGTTTCTACCCTTCAAAAACTAAATTAGGCAATCTGGGGACAAAAGTCTAGCTTTCTGAAATTAACATTCTAAGAAAGCAGGTTAACTCTATGCAAAATGAAGACTCGTTTGACTTTTAATATACAAATATACATGGAGTTATGCTTCCCAAATCAAAACTCATGAGGCTCAAAGTCTCTACAGTAAGGTCAGTGAAATTCCCTCATACAAATGTCCAGAAGTGAACAGCAAGTTTAAAATTATTGACTAATGAAGAGAATAATCTAGTAAAAGCTTCAGAGTATACCTAACTAAAAAGACAATTCTATGACTGCCAAGAAAATAACCTGTCAAACTCCTTGTGTTCTAGCATTTAAAATGCTGAACCAGGAAGGCTCAGTTTCTCACTAAGCTAGTTTCTGGAGCAAAGAGGACAAGAGCTAAGCCCGCTGGGGAAGCATGTTATGCCATGCTGAAGAAAGCTACAATGATTTTAAAACCACAATAAGTTAACTTTAGAAATTATGGAAGCGAGACAAATTTTCAGGACATCAAAGGATGAGGTTCTAGTAAAGCAGTTCTTGATCACTGGACTTTCCTCTTCCTGGATACCTACAGAGAGGTTATTCTGGGACTTATTTTGCAGTTATTAAGGAGAGGTCTCTTCAGTATCTTCGGAGGACACTGTAAGCTAGATGAGAGGAAGTTTCAGGCAGACCTGCAGCCCAGGAGATATGCACAAGGCCCTGGGTTCAATCCCCAGCACTAAAAAACAAATCTATATCTTTGTAGTTCCTATTCTATAATAAGCCCTACAAAAAAACCTCTAAAACTATGTTTAGCTACAAGAAAAATAAAATCAATGTTCAAACTATTCTTTTCAAAGATCTCTATCTAAAAATTTTATTATCAGTGTATTTTGAGCCATTAATATATTTTATGTAGACTCTGAAAACAATAAAAATGTGACAATCTAGAAAAATAATTTTTTCCTCTATATCCTTCTCTTTGGGTTGGATAGTAATTAAGAATGTGAACTCAGAATTAAGCAAACTTGTGTCTGAAAGCTAATCCCCCATGAACTAGCTGCACAACTTCAGATATTCAGCTTCTCTAAGCACAATTTTGTAACTAGTAGGACAGGGAAGCTAACAGTTGTGGGAGTAAATATAATCATGTATTTAAGGCCTTTAGCAAGCACATGGCTGGTTGCTGTTATAATCTCTTTCATTTTGCCCTCATGTCTTCTGAGAAAGATTTCTGACCATCTACATATTACAAACTAATGGACCAAAATCAATGCAGAACGATGTCTCCAGCACTATTTAATTTTGAAATCCAGGGATAAGGAGAACTGATATGAAGAAGTGTTGACTTTAGTTTCCTCTTATGTAAAATGTGCACTGAAGCCAGAAAAGTTGTGGGGTTCCTTACGATTCTTGTTTATACGAAACTGACTACCATATAAACATTTTGCAGTGTAGTATACCAAGATATATTGGTCTAAGTAATTAGAAATTTTCTGAGGGACATCCTGGCCTATTATTATAACATGAATTGAATTAATTAATTATTTTTTCAACTTTAAGAATTTGTTTTTAACAAAGAGGAAAACTTCTTAAAAAGAGCCACAAGGATATAAGAAGGAGCTTGTCTGGTCCTCTTGTCTCTGGTCAATAATGAAATCTATCACTCAGGAAGAACTGGGGCAGAGATTAAATATAAACAAAAATGTAACAAACCCAATATCCCAGGGCTTTGATGACATCAAGTTTACACATTGGACATGTTCGGTGATCCAAAAGCCATGGGTCAATGCATATTCTATGAAAAATATGCCTAAAAAAATTAAGTATGTGTTAATGTTTTAAAATAAATGTTTATATATCTTATAAAGGAAATAAGACATTCTATCAACTCATCCCCTCAGTACAAGTTAACCAATGTCAAATCAACATTCTAGAGTAGTCATTTTTCCTAAATTATCAGCTAATCTACTTTGTACTTACAACAGAATTTGGGACTTCCAGTAAAATGTTCCCTTCACTCCACAAAAACAGCATGGCTTATTTCCATCCCATGCTATGTTGTACATTTCTATGTGCTTGAAAAAATTACCTGCAAGACTTTTGGGAATAAATGTGGCTTAAGTAAGCTAACACTACTAAATTAATACTAAATTGATAGTATTTTATATGGGTCCATAAAAGCATTCAAATGGAAAATATATCAAAATATTAACAAGTCATCTTTGGGTGGCAGGCTTAAAAAATATTTTTATAAACATTCTACATTTTTCTATCAGAATTTTTCAAGGGCATATATATTTTCTTCTTTTACTGATTCGCCATTATTTCCTCTTATGAGATGGATGAGTCTATTTTCTATGTGTGAGGAAGACAGGGCATCAAATATGGGCTTTGGAATAAAACAGATGGGGATCAAAAGCCAGCTGTGCGACTCAACAGCCTTGACCCTGGATGAGGCTCCTGCCCTCCCTCTCTGCATATACAGCATAGGCTGCTCTGAGAGGCACAAACAATGTGTGTACAAGAGTGCTGGGCACAGCACATGTCTAGTACAATCATTTGAAGAGCTTCCTTCAAATAGAAATCCCCTAGGTCAGGTAAGGTAACAGTTCTTAATTATATCATAGTCTAATTCACCTTGCCTTTTGATTTTCCATCTGCAAACTAAAAAGTGACAGACCCAAGGAAACAATTTTTACAAAAAAAAAAAAAAAAAAATTATTGGGAATATGTTATATAAATCACAGGAGAAAACTGGGAAATAAGTCAAAATCTCAACGAGCAACCCAGGAAATGTACATGTCTGCATTTGACAGTCAAGTACAAACCCCACCTTAGCCATCAGTATAGACACCTAGGCTCATCTGTGCAGCATAGAGAGCATTATTTCTTAAGGAAAACATGTCCTAAATCAGCCTAGAGTAACTTTAATGATGTTAAAGAAGACATGATCAACCTATACTGAGACCAATTCATTAGGTACCCACACCTACTTTCATTCAGGAAACTTTTGACTTTGATATTCTGATACTCGTTCCTTTATTTCCTTCACAGAATTATTAAGAACTTAGTCTACCCTGCAGTAGTAGATTATACACTAACATGCTTTGCAAACAAAGCAAAACACAAATATATTAACTTATGACGTGCTTCTAAAAGGTGTAAAGTATAAATGAAATTTATCTGACTTAAAATATAATTTCTGTACATAAAATAAACCATTCTGCTAACAAAATAATTCTTCTAAAAGTTATCAATTAAAGTAGCCTAAAAAGGAAATCACAACTTCCTGTTGCTAAAACTGAACTTGAGCAAAACCAAGTTACTGTAACCCAAATAAAGGGAGGAATATTTATTTTTCACAACCACAAAGAGAACTCAAACTCAGGGTACAAATAGCAAACCACTGCCCTCCCCACACCTGCTTCCTGCTGGCTGTTTTAGGCCCATTCCCTTGGGTCCTTCACCTTTTTGCTTCAATTTTCTTGCTCTTGACATAGCATACTTTGCTAAGTATATAATAAAATTCCCAGCATTCTAATGAATACCTGCTTATGAGACTAGAAGCTCATCTATGACAAAGATGTACACTGGGTCTAATGGTCATGGAAGAGTCCTAAGAAAAGCAATTTTAAAGAGCCTTGAAGACAGTAAGAAAACCTAAGCTTCTCTTTCAAAAGATGAGATGATCAAAGATAGCAAGATCTTTATACCATAAAAAGGACACGAACTCTTTTGTCAGGATACTGAAACTTGTCCAGCAATTATTAATGACTCAGTAGGTTAAAGAAAAGAGAAAAAAAAAACATACTTGCATGGCAGAATTCTGATAACGTCCTTTACTTTAAAATTTTCAATACACACTGCACAATTTTCGGCATCAACATCAATTCCCTGTAAAAAGAAAAGGAAAGAATTTACTTTATCCTTGGCATTAGCACATCCTTCGAAAATGCACTATATACTGACTAAAACAATGATGGATTCTATTTTACATTGGGATAACATGAAACTAAAATTCAGATGATTATATTTGGTATTTACTTCTTACCACTATCAAGAGGTTATCTAAGGAATGAGGCTGAAAATGAAAAAATTTTACTGTTTGCCTACTCAGACACAATAGTATTTAAATATGCTAGGAAATGCCTGCCATATTATGATGAAATAAATCATTTCTCAAACATAAACCTTACACTTTAATGAAAAGAATAAATATCCAGGAAATTACTCATTTCCTAGAATCATTAAAAAGAAATTTACATCTGCTAAAGACAAATTTATAATCTGCATATGAGAAAATAAAAATGGCTACATATCTGAAAATATCTACCTCACTAGTACTAAAAGAATTACAAATAGGAATAAGTCATTGTTTTTCATGTAATGAATTAACAAAGACACAAAGAAACAAAAATTGCTGGAGAAGAAAGTCTTGTGACAAAATTTCCACTTCTAAGAATTTATGGGTCAGCCCTCTCCACTTCTCTGGGTACCCATGGATCCATCCACCTGGTTCTATCTCATCAACCAAGCAGTCAGGGCCAGAGTGATCATTGTCCCAAAACAGAACGGACTTCTGGGACAGGGATTCAGTGCTGAATGTGGCTGCAAAGTTCATTTTATGAAATATGACTACATTATCCTTATAATTGCTTAAAAATACATTTAGCTAATATGCCACTTATAAAAAAGAAAGCAGTTAAGAACTGAATTTTGTATAAAAATAATGTTATCAAAGACCATGTTAAAATCAAGTTTATACCAACATTTTAAATTATACACTGCAATAAAAGTAAATATTGTCATTTATTTATCATATGCCATGCAAAAATAATGAAACGATTTTAATAATTTTTTGAATATGTACTTTTTTTTTTTGGCAATACTGGGGATCAAACCCATGGCCTTGCTAAGCATGTGCTCTACCACTGAGCTACATCGTCAGCCCTGAAATGATTTTTTGAAGTCCTTAATAATGGCATTAAAGTTTACACATTACTATTAGTAAATCTACACAAAAGAAAAATTGGAAAAAAAAAAAAAAAAAAAAATTATATAAATAAAAATAAGAAAATTTACACAAAAAAAAAATTGAAAAAAAAAAAAAAAAAAGAATGTCAGTATCCAAAACCAGGTTAAGATATAGACTACAAAAAATACATGTTTAAAATGTAAAATTGTCATAAAATCCATGTATCGATATAACTCATGGAACACTTATGGATCTTCTTTTTTAACTATTACTCTGACAACTTTCAAAAAACTGTCCCTGGGGATTTTAAATGTGTTGTATAGGAAGAAGATAATATCAATTTACTTATGTTTTCAAAGACTCAATTCCATTAATTACACATACGAATCTATATCTTCTCATATGTTATAATGGTGGTTCCTGACGAGAGCAGAAGGCATTCATGTTCCAGAGGAACATAGAACCATATGCTTATGAGTAACTAGTTATGCAGAATGGGTTTAGAATCTACCAAGGGCATTAACTGGAAAGTCTCTCCTAAAGAACCCTTAGAGATTTGTAAATCAGATGCTAATCTTAAGCCATAAAGAGTATTTTTTCTTATATTTCTTTTTTATTTTTTCTATTCAAAACATTTATACAAAAAGAAATCATTACCTTGTAACAAACTACTAAAATTCAAATGTACTGCGATGTAAGTTATATTAGGGAAAGAATGGTAGCCACCAATATAATTCTTAGAATATCTTAATACTAACTATATCACATAAACCATTAATAACAGATTTCAAAATTTTATACTCTGTAATTTCATGTGTTATTTTTGTTTTAATCATCCTTTAAGTAGGTTAGAGGAAGAAATATGTACTGTAAATGTAGTTTCTCTTCCTTTTGGTGGGGGAGGAGGGTAGACTAGAAACTAGAGAATGGAAAAGATTAAGTTTTAACAACAAAACAACTGAACCAATCCCACAACTAAAGTCAACACTAGTTAGCAACATTTCAAAGCACCAAAGAGGGACCATTAAAAAAATAAATACTACTGCATTAGTAACAGCTTTCCTTTTAGGCAATCTATATCATTCTAGATTCAGGATTTGTCCTATTCCAAAATGCTTTAAGTCTCTGGTATGATTCTAAATCTTTAAAGTCTCAGCCCCTCCCAACCCCAAAAGTTTACTTTTTTTTTTTTTAATAAAAACGTAGTTTTAAAGATATCTTTTTTTTTTTCCTTTTCCACAAATATCAAGTATGTTTTTCCTGTACTTGGGGGAATCAGAGAGAATGGACATGTAGTCTCAAATTTAACAGAAATGAATTTAAGGAATCGCAGGTCTATGGTATAAACTTTAAGTTCTGCAGCTTCTTTATAGTCACCCAGATCTGTCCAATAGCACTTTCTAAGATGATGGGCATGTCAGTGCCATCCAACATGGCAGCTCCTGTCAACGTGGCTACTGATCACTTGAAATGTAGCTAGTGTGACTGAGGGACACAATTTTAAATTTAATTTAATTCACTTAAATAGCTGTATGTGACTAGTGGCTAACCCTCAGGAGAGCACAGATCTGGAATGTTCTTCAACCTCAGAATTTCTACTAATCCTCTTTACAATAAATATATACATGCAAGTTAATACTAACTCAATTTACCAAAGCGCCACAGACTGGATACTGTGAATTAAAAGACGGGAAGGGAAGTATTTCTCAAGACATAAACACATCCTTTGGTCCAAACCAAGAAACAAAACAACACAGTATAAAAATATTACCTTTTCTCCATGCTTTACAGTATGAAGTAGAAGCTGGCCAATAACTTTCTTAGTTTCCTTTCTATGGCTCTTGGAGAGAAAATTATTATTATTATTGTTAATAAATTAATAATAAAATATCATTATTATTGTTGAAATTTTCAAATTAAATCACTATTTTATAAAAAATTATATGCAAGCATATAGAAAAAATTTCATTAAAAAGTCTATTTTTAATTTCATATTACAATGAAAATAACTAAAAATACCTTCATCACCATTTTAAGTCTTAATATATACAACAGTCATATAACTTAAGAGCTATTTGACTGACAAAACTTATTTTCAATTCTACGTCTGAAGAAGGAATCAACTTTTTTAGTCTGTATGTAGTGCTGTGGAGATGAAACTCAGGGCCTCAGATATGCTAAACATGTGATCTACCACTGACCTACATACACCTCAGCCACAGAAACCAATTCTATGTCTAAATATCAGCAAGAAAGAAATAGGCTGAGGATGGAGGTACCATATGATCACTCTGTCAGCCATCCCCCTTTATGGTATTAGGGATTGAACCCAGGGTTGCTTAACCTCTGCCCTTTTTATTTTTTATTGAGACAGGGGTTTGCTAAGTTGCTTAAGCTGGCTTTGAACTTGCAATCCTCCTGCCTCAGCCTCCCAAGCCGTTGGGATTACAGGTATTCACCACCATGCCCAGCATCAAGGAACTTAAAAACAAAGAGCCCTTCCTATGTCAACAGTCAGGAAGGCCAACTTTGCATAGGCACAGATCCTGCTACTAGAAGCCTCTGGCTCTTCATCAGCCCTCATCTCTGCTGTTACTGAGACAGGGTCTCTCTGAAGGGAAATGGCTTGACAGCTGCTCCACAGTGGAGACAGGGATGCTCGTTCCCTGCCTTTAGGCCAGCTCAGAAACCCAGGTTATGAGAGCAGGTTCACTACATCTGGTACCTTTTTGCCATTGCTCTCTCTCTGGAAAAGGACAAATGATATGTGCAGGAACTGAATGTGCAAAAAGTGTCCTAAACTTAAAAAATAGTTTTTAATCTTCCACAAGATAGAAAATTTAATGCATTCTAATTAGAAGGTTAGTTTCAAAAAGTCATATGAATACTTATATGAGTGAGAAGGAAATAAAGAATATGGTCAAATATAACTTCAAGCAATATATATGGGATATATTTATGAACTATCTTTTCAAAACTAAAAATAAAATTATCCATAATTACCTGACTTCCAAACTGCGAGCCAGTATACAGGAAACGTTGTATATAGTAAAATATTAGCCAGGCTAAGGAGATAATCATCATAGTGATGAAGGCAATGGCCACAAACACCACAGACTGACCGCTGATGAACTCCTGCACATGACGGGTGCCAATCCCTATGGTCACTTTTACTGGAATTCCTTTTTGTACCACATCTAAAATTTCTCTTCCTTTTAGATAGCTAACCATAATGACCACTATACTTCCTGTTCCTGTAGGAAGGATCAAAGAAATCAATGTAAGACAAAAGAGAGCTATGTTCATCAACACACATTTGAAAACTTCAAAAAAAATTGAAAAATTTTCAAGGAAAACATCAGTTATCAAAATTGATTCCAAAAGAGAAAATAGACTGATCTCATGAGGAAAAGTAGAATCAATCACCAAGAAGTACCCCTTCCCAAAAGCCAGGATACCCTTCATTTTCTTGGGTGACATCTATACCACCAAACCTTTAAGGTTAAGTACTGCTGATGATGTTTAAATTGTCCCACAGCTGACTGTAAGGGGACAAAGGAAGTTTTAAAATTATTTCTAAGATTATAAACCCAAACATAGAATAAAAAGCAAAAGAACCAGTCTGACTAATTTTACTTGCATATAATAATATATAATACCTGAAACATACCAATTAAAATCAGGGAGGCAATATGAGAATTTCACTATGATCACTATTATTTAACATTGCTCTGAAGGCACAAGCAACCATGAGATAAAAAAAAAAAAATAAAGAGAAAAGGGGCAAAATAATCAACATAAACCTAGCTATAAATGAATATAACAATGATTAAATATAAACAGGATCAAAGAAAAACATTAATATTCTACTTCTAAAGTCATTTAGGGAAAAAATAATCAGGAATGGATCAGGCAAACTTTTATATATATGTATGTAATTTTTTTAGTTATAGTTGGACACAATACCTTTATTTTATTTATTTATTTATTTTTATGTCGTGCTGAGGATCTAACCCAGGGCTTTGCACGAGCTAGGTGAGTGGTCTACCACTGAGCCACAACCCCAGCCCCCAGGAAAACTTTTTAAATTAACTAAAACAGAATGGGAGTAGCATATGAAGACACTCACAGAACAGCACAGAATAAAAACACCAGAAATAAACATACAAAACTATATGTGTATGTGTGTGTGTGTGTGTGTGTGTGTGAGAGAGAGAGAGAGAGAGAGAGAGAGAGAGCCTAGAAGAAACAGGGGAATTAAAAAACTAGAGAGAGAGAGAGAGAGCGAGCCTAGAAGAAACAGGGGAATTAAAAAACTAATTTCCCAGCCAAGTGTGGTGGTACAGTTCTGTAATCCCAGCTACTCAGGAGGCTGAGGCAGGAGGATCACAAGTTCAAAACCAGCCTGCACAATTTAGAGAGATCCTGTCTCATAATTTTAAAAAAAATTGTTAAAAATGGGCTAGGGCTATAGCTCAGTGGCAAAGCACTTGCCTACCATGCTTAGGACCCTGGGTTCCTTCCCCAGTACTGTAAAACAAACAAATTTTCTATAAGAAAAAGGATGACTGTAAAACAAAGAAAGTCAGTTTTCAGGATGGAAAATACAAATGGTTTTTAAAAATAGCAGCTTAGGGCTGGGGATGTGGCTCAAGCGGTAGTGCGCTCCTCTGGCATGCATGGGGCGCTGGGTTCGATCCTCAGCACCATATAAAAATAAAATAAAGATGTTGTGTCCACTGAAAACTAAAATAATAATAATAATATTTTAAAAATTCTTTCTCTCTCTCAAAAAAAGCAGCTTAATTGATATATAATTCATACCATAAAAATCATCCTTTTAATGTATACAATTCAGTGGTTTCAAGCAGACTGACTAGTTGCACAAGCATTACCATCATTTAATTCTATAACATTCCCATCATCCCATAAAGAAACCCCTGTGTCCATCAGTATCCAGTATCCATCCCCAACAAGTGAATTTTAAACATGAAAACTCATGGCACAAGTGAAAAGATGTTATATGTAAGATTGTCAGAGACACTCTCTTGTACAATGCTGGGGGAGTGAATTATAACATTCTTGTATGGGGGTGGGGGGAATGGTTACCAAAAAATTTAGACACACCTTTCTCTGACCCAGCAATTCTGTGTCTAAGAATGTAATTAACTGGTGTACTTATACATAAATATGGTGGAATATCTATAAAGATACTTTATTGCTAATGTTTTTTCTTTCTTCTTTTTTTTTTTTTTTTTTGAGTAATAAAAATTCTTGCTGTCAAAACAAGACATAACAGAAGACAATAAATTGTCCTGATAATTTTAGACTCTAGGCTTCTCAATGAGGTCAGCTCCTTATATAAGATAGTATCCAAAACAAATAACAAAAGGTATCTGAGATAGTGTTCAAGACAGAGACTATTCATGTACACATGAGGAGAATACAAAGACAGTTTCTTGATTCCTTTTCCTTTGTAAGATATGTGTTGCATGTACCTTTTGGTGAAAAATGCTTTCATGAAAAATTGTGAATGTTTTCATTTCTCCCTGCGCAAAAACAAAAACAAGTTTTAGGCCCTGACCTGAAAAAGGAAATCAAAATACTATGAAACTAATTTCACATAAATATCAAATCAAGACTACAACTGTACATATCATGTTCTTTACTTCAAATGAGTAGAATCAATTTCCTCCCTTAGGGAGTTTTCAAACTGGCATTAAATTAGTCTTACTTTAAGGTACAAGAAAGAAGAGGCAAAACTAGTGTCTGAGAGGCAAGGGTGTAGCTCAATTAGGACAAGCTTTGTACTAATGTTTCCAAAAATGAAAAATTAAAAAAAATTATTTCTTTAGCTGGGGCCTCTCTCTCAATGACAGAGCATGTGGGAGGCCCTGAATCCCCAGCACTGGGGGGGGGGGGGGGGGGGGGGGGACAAAAATCACTGTGAAATACAAAAGAGAAGCATCCCTCCAACAGCAGTGGCTCAGAAGGTACAAAGAGGTATGAGGAACCAGCTATAGGACAAAGGAATCTATCAGGTCTACCAAGAAGCAAGGAGACTCTGGTTTCAGCCTTGGAAGTAGATTCCCTGCCAAGTTAACTTGTTAGCTGTTAACTATAACCAGATCTGAAACAGACCTGAGGTCTCCCTAACTAACAAGACTGGAGCACAGGACATGCAGCACGGTCAAGGCCAAAGCTGTCTTACCTAGTCAGTGACACCTCTACACCATGATTTGTCATTGTACTGATGGTGGTAAAAGAATCAAGAAACCTAGGGTTTCAACCAACACAAATATTAAGTTCTTGTACAGGGTAAACAAATAAAAAATAGGTTAAGTAGATGCCCCAAACATTACTTCTAAGATTATATGGCATAACTTTAAAGAGGTACAAATGGTTTCGTCTACACAAGGACAAGCTTTGTATTAATGTTTACAAAAATGAAAAATTAAAAAAAAATTATTTCTTTAGCTGGGACCTCAGTTTAAGAGGTTCTTAAAAATATATCTTTCCTATATCACAGCCAAGAGAAAAGGGGAGTAGGTTAAGAAATCCCCATCCAGCATCCCTGGAATTGAGAGAGAGCTCTAGATGCCAAGTGAGCTTACAAAGCACACTCAAAACAGGGTTTGAGAGTATAGGCCTGTAGCGGCTGTTTCTTCCTTTGTATAACCAGTTATGTCCATCTTGGGTAGCTAGAAAATTGCTGGATTTTCGGTCATTTCAGTGGCCCAGAGACAGATCAGCTCCACTGGAGGGTTTCTGGGCTTCCTGGTAGGCCTACATGGCAAAACCTCCAGAACCAGACTTCAGAGGGGATACTGATGGATAGTGCCTCCACTGATCTGACAAGTTTCTGTCCGTAACCCACTTCCAGGACCCGTAATGCTAGAATATGGGCCAGGTAAGGCATTAGAGGAACCAGAAGTAAATCAGCCTCTGGGCCCCTGTGCAGAGAAAGAATGGAATACTGATGATGGTGAACTGGGTAGATGCAGGCTGCTTCTCTTCTTTTGATCTCTCTCTGCTCTGCAACTTCAGTTTACAGAGTACTTCTGACATTTGAAAGCCCTTGGTCTTCTGGGTGATAAGGCCCTGGTGGAAAGTGCAGCCACTACCTCTCAGTGATGCCTATTGTTGATAATGCTGAGAGCTTTCCTGATTTGCTTCATGATTGCAGAATTCATGATGATATGGGTAGTTCTAGCCTTCACTACCTGGACATTGTCCACACTGTCAATGGTCATGGCAGGGGACAATTCACAGGCCTCTCCTTCTTATACCCTGATAAGGTGATCACACTTGCACTCTGGAATTGCTGCATGTGTTAGATGCAGAAATCCTGAGCCTAGAATTCTCAATGACATCACTGTAGCTGAGTGGCTGGTGGTACATCCTCATGGGCAGGCACATCTTGCCTACAGGCCCACTAGACACAAGAAGAAGCACTTCTGGATGTCTTGAAGCCATTTGAAGACTGGGCTTTGGGTGCTTTTTCTATATAGATTGCAGAGCTGAGTTCCTATTACAGTTTAAATGTGAGGTGTCCTCAGAAAGTTCATGTGTGAGATAATGCAAGATGGTTTAGAGATGAAATGTCTGGGTTAGGAATTAACTGAGTGGTAACTGTAGGCAGGTAGGGTGGAGGATTGCCTTTAGGGTATATATTTTGTCCTTGTTGAGTAAAACTACCCGTCTCTCCCTCTCTCTCTCTCTACCTCCTGATGCCATGCTCCCAAATGCCTTCCTCCACCACACACTTCTTTTTTTTTTTTAAACACTATTTTTTAATTTGTTTTAATTAGTTACACATGACAGTACAATGATCTCAACATCATACATTTGAATCAGATGGGATATAATTTCTAATTTTTTGAGTGTACAGGTTGCAGAATTACATTGGTCATGCAGGCACGTATATACCCACAGCAATAATGTCTATTTTATTCTGCTGTCCTTCCATTCCTCCCCTCCCCTCCCCTCCCATCACTTCTCTCTACCTAATCTAATGTGACCCACTTCTTTTTTTTTTCCCTCACATCTTCATACCTGAATTCTGTATAACGAAGGGGGTCACCTTCCCTCTTCCATGCAATTCCCATTCTCCCTCCCTTTCCCTCCCACCCCTCTTCCCTATCCAGAGGTAATTTTCTTCTCATGCTCTTCCTCCCTACCCCATTTGAGTCACCTCCCTTATATCAGAGAAGATATTCAGCAGTTGTTTTTTAGGGATTGGCTAGCTTCACTT